GACGATACCCCTTAAGACGTAGTGTGGATCAACTACTAAATTATATATAGGACAGGAGTTCCCAATGTACAATTAGCCAGTTACATAGATAATGCCATAGCACATGATTTCTTTTTGTAAGTCCTAAACTGGCAACAACAAATATGCCCATGGATGAATATGTATTGTTCCAAAAACTAAGAATAATATGTGTTGCTTCAAACATAAACAAAATTGAATATCACAATCAGAAAAACTTGCAAAATTAAATACAACCCATTGCATCACCAAATGACCCATTTACACCATAAGCCGTCTACCTATCATTAGCAACCGGTAGAAGTTCAACAAGCAGCACATGAGCACATACAAAGTAAATGAACAAGTTGTTTCCCTTCAGAAGTCCCAAGATTCAAAATATTTTCTAGAACACATGATTGCCACAACAACGGACATTCGATTTTGAACTATTCCGGTGTGCAAGTTGTTGCATGTGATTCTACTGTCAAAGTCAAAAGTAGTCACATGACCAAAAGTGTTACCTGACAGTCACCAGCACTGCTCTGTATGTCCTTCATGATCCTTTTAGAATCACTCATAAAGTTCTCCTACAAGAACATTCACCAGCACAAGAAAGAGGACTCATTAAATCTAATAGAAGATACTTGGTCTCTGAATAACATTGGGTATATTAATTGGTGATGACTCGAGCTGATAGATGAGAAGCGAAATCAAGTGTACCTCAGCAAGCATGTGGTCTGCCTCGTTCAAACACAAGAATCTTAATCTCCCTTGTGGCAAGCTTCTTCTTGGCAATCCACTTAATGAGCGTCCCAGAAGTGCCAATCACCACCTGATCAGTTACCGCTGGCATCTTGGAGATGGGCATGTAATCCTTGAGAGCCGGCGAGATGGCGCAAGCACAGGTAATGCCGGTAAACTTGCTCATCCTCATGAGCACGGATTTATTCTGCACAGAGCAACAAATAAGATTCAGCACAGTGCTGCGGTTTGTTATTAGTATCCAATAAGGAGCAGATGAGAAACCTGCTGCGCAAGCTCCCTGGTAGGGCAGATGCAGATGGCCTGGGGAATCCTGCGGGTGGGGTCGACGCGGCTGAGCATGCCGAGGACGAAGCAGGTGGTCTTGCCGGAGCCGTTGTGCGCCTGCGCCACGAGGTTCTTGTAGGGCGGCGTGAGGATCATGGGAAGCGTGACGGCCTGGATCTTGCTGGGGCGGCTGAACCCCATCTCGTCGTGCAGACCCTTGAGCAGCTCCGGCGTGAGCTTCAGGTCCTCGAAGGTCGTCGCTGATTCGTACACCGTGCCGCCGGAGGCCACCTGGGGAGCAAAGAACCAAATTAATGAGCCAACCGACATGCATAGAGAGGGGCATGGCTAGCGAGGCGAGTGCAGAGCAGAGGCGCCTACGGCTTGGATTTGGGAGTCGTCGTCGTAGTCATCCAGCAGAGGCGGTCCGCCGCCGCCGCCGTCCTCCGGCGCCAATAGCGAGAGCGCCTCCATCTTCTTCTGGTTCTCGTCCACCGCCGTCTCGAAGGCCTTAGGATCGTCGACGTCGGCCGGGGACTTCTTCTCCAAATCGGGGTTGGCGGCGCCGTCGGCCATTGAAAGGAGACAAAGCAAAATCGATAGCGTTTCCGGTTGCGGTTGCGAGTGTTGCGACCTCGAGCCAAAACTCGATTCGCCGAGAATTTGTGTGAAACGTTTTGAATATATTTGGCGGCGCGGACGTGCACGTGCACCACAAGGAGTCGTCCAAACAAGCCGTAGCCTTTTCTCTTTCGGACTGGAATCGAACCAAAGATATGTCCGACACCGTCTTGGTCTACATCTGCACTAACTCAGGAAAGTTTATCAAGCAAGTGTTGATTCACGTCGTGGAGGTGCTAGCTAGTACGAGAGATTTTTTTTTCTGACAATTGCTCACAAGTCATGCATGAGAACATCGAGGATTAACACTATGTTAGGGAAACTCTAACACGCCGACGCATTTGGTCCACACGTGTCCGTTTGAATCGGAGCGGACGAAAACACTGGCCCAATAGGCTGACGCATATCCAAATCGCGGACTCATGTTCGTGTGGACACATTTCAAGCCCAAACCACGGACACGAGATCGACGAGCCGCGCGTCCCCTCTGTGTCCGCCTCGGGCCTGCCTGTGGGCCACCCGACCACCACTACGGTCATAATCAATGCCTACCTACCACCGAGGGCCTACTTGACAGTGAGTGGAAGCGTCCGGAGTCATGGAGACATACGGGTGGCAAGGCGTCGTGCGGGAGTGGATCAGTGATACGTCTCCAATGTATAAATTATGAATCAAGGAGCATGAACAAAATAGTCTGCTTGAATTTTTGTTTTGGTTGGTCTTTGCGCAATCGGTTGTAGTCGGTATTTCCACAGTTGAAGATAGTTGGGAAAAAAACCTTTTGGTCTCTTCAAATGGTTCACTCAATTTCATTTATGTTTCACATAGTGCGTTTTACTTGTAGGCTGTTGGTCCCAAAATGAACAACACATCAGCACATTATCTATATTAAGTAAGAACAGCAGCATACAATGAATAACTAAGTAATTACTATTAACATAAGCCAAAACATTACTAAGAACAGCCAACCCTAAAATTCCTTTCGAATAGTTTGCTTAACTTCCAGTTAGTACTTGGTTTCTGCGCCAATTGGTGCAATGGGTCATCTAGTTTAATAGAAATGGCTATGTGCGTCGTTGGATGCAGGGACCGGGGGTTTGAACACCATTTTTGAAAAAAGATAACAAAAAATAATCAAAAATCAGTAAAGATCTTAAGGTAGATCTTAAGGTAACTTCCACTCACAAGAAAATTTGAGTCTAAAATAAAGTAAATTTCCACTACGAATATTGACATCATTAATGAATCAATCTTAAAAAGTAGCAATTTTATTTCCTAGAATTGCAATTTGGAATCAAATTAGTTTTCAATTTGGTAAATTTTTGTGGCCAGGGCGCCGGCCAAACTATGCGCCGGTCTACCGTGTGCACGCCGCGTGGACGTGACATCATGTGTATGGCCCACACTCCTGCTTCCCTCATCCTTATCCCCTGGGCGTCTTATCTCTTCACCGAACCACACATTCATTCTCTTTCTCTCTCGTACATAGCTACATCCATAAGAAGTTGGGTCATCTATTTTGGAACGGAGGGAGAGTACATCCATTGATTCCCCATTGACGGCCACGCCTCTTTTTCCAATTCGTGGTCCTGCTCCTCCGACGAGCTCCCCGGCCGCCATAATCCTACCTCCATGGCGAGCTCCTCCGGTCCCCCCCTCCCC